TGCTCAGTGACCTCAGGCCCTTTACTTAACCTCCTTTGCAAAAGACAGAGAATGGTCTCCCTTCATAACAGGTCCAGCCCCAAGGAATACAATGAGTAGACAGCCTCCAGTGACAGGGGCCTGCACAGCAAGCTGATGATGACTGCTGTGGTGGGTTCCTCTATGGGCAGTCTTGGGCAGGAGCCCCTGCACCACTCACCAAGTTTTCTGAGTGGCCTGCATTCTGAGGATCTTCCTGCCTGACCCTCCTTCCTCCTCCCTCTCCTTTCGTAGGTGTCAGACCTGCATCAAGACCTGGGGCTCCCTCTGTTACTTCTGCTTAGTTCACCATTTTGTTCACAGGCATTAACCCCTGTAAATCTCTGGCACATCTAACGACATCTTCCCAAGGACCCAGCTGATGAATCACCTCCAGTCTCAGGGCCCCATCCTCCCCTATCAGGGATCCTTGGAAGTGCCATGTAGAATATGGCTCAGCAGCAGCCCACCCAGGGAAGCTGGGGGATTTACACACCAGTGTTTTCCCCCATTGGTTAAGGGCTGCCCTGGGGGTTTCCAACTCACGGAATTTCAGGAGGAGGCAGCTCTGCACACTGGCCAGGCAAGCTCTTACTGCACTGAAAAACACAAAACAAAACCAAGCTATCATTGCCAGGGCTTGTGGTAGGAACATGTCAGCAGGAATGACTGTCCACTGCAGCTGGGGGACACCCAGCGGGGGCCCGGGGCTTGCTGATTGGCATCAGCAGCATCTGCTATAGATGATCAAACCCGCACTTCTCAAACCGCCACTTATGTCCCTGGAAGGGTCCCGGTGCCTGCCACGGCTGTGAGGAAACGCTTGGAGCATACTTTTCCTTGCGGAGTTTTGTGGGGATGCGTCATTTTTATTTTTTAGCAAGTGGATATTATAGATTGGAATGCAAACTTCACAATAATTTTTTTCAGCTTTTATTTCGGATTTGGGGATATACATGCAGATTTGTTACTTGGGTATATCGGGTGATGCTGAGGTTTAGTATACGAGCGATCTTGTCACCCAAGCAGGGAGCATAGTATCCCATAGAGAGTGTTTCAATCTTCACCTTCCTCCTTCCCTCCCCCCTCTAGGGTCCCCAGGGTCTATCGTTGCCATCTGTATGTCCACATGTACCCAACGTTTAGTTCCCACTCATAAGTGAGAACATCCAGTATTTGTTTTTGTTTTTGTTGTTCTTGTTTGAGATGGAGTCTTGCTTTGTCACCCAGGCTGGAGTGCAGTGACGTAATCTCCACTCACTGCAACCTCAGCCTCCTGGGTTCAAGTGATTCTCATATCTCAGCCTCCCTGGTAGCCGGGATTACAGGCGTCCGCCACCACACCGGGCTAATTTTTTGTATTTTTTGTATTTTTAGTGGACACAGGGTTTCACCATGTTGGCCAGGCTGCTCTTGAACTCCTGACCTCAAGTGATCTACCTACCTTGGTCTCCCACAGTGCTGGCATTACAGGCATGAGCCACCACACCTTGCCCCAGTATTTGGTTTTCTGTCTCTGCATTACTTGTTATTTGCTTAGAAGGTAACCTCCAGCTGCATTTGCCCCTCTTCATTTCAGCGGAAGAGATTGACAAGAGGAGCTGTGGATCATTTGAAGCCACCCAAGATATTCAAGCAAGAAAGAGCAACAACCAGATTTGCAGTGTAGGGGAGAGGCTGGCAGCAGAGAGAGGCTGGGGCCTTCAACAGACTCCCTGGGGACCCACAGTGTGCAACACATACTCTAGGGCACAGAAGTGACAGCAGGCAAACTGAAGGCCTCATTCTGGGGACCAGGGAAGGCATGCAAAAAGCCATCCCGCAATTAGTGTTGCATTCAGACTTTGAGATCTGCTCTGAGCAGAGTGCCGTGTGGGAATATGTAGCAGGAGAGTGAGCACTAGCCCGGGCGCTAACCAGTTCCACCAGAAAGTGACACTGGATTTGAGCTCTGAACTGACAGATACTGACTGAAGGTAGCCAAATGTCTAGGCAGATAGGGGCGGGTTCCGGGTGAAGCCCCACCTCCAAGCTGAAGACAGTCCTGGGTAAAATCTCAGACCAGAGTGAGAACTTCTGTTCCTGTTTGCCCGCCCTTCCCCTATTCTGAGCCCATAAAAGCCCTGGACCCACACATACAGGGACTTTCTCACCTTCAGGTAGGGGGACCACCGCCACATCCCCTCTTCACCAAAAGCCATTTCTTCACTCAGTGAAACTCCCTGCCTTGCTCAGTCTTCGATCGGCTCATTCGTCTTGGATGCTGGACAAGATCTTGGGAACTAGTGCGCAAGCCCAACTCTGCCCAGGCAGGCTGAGTGGGCGGGCCGTCTCCTGCAGCAGGTAGCATGGTTGAGCGAGGCCCAGGTGGGGTGTCACTGGCTGGAGGTCCCCAGCTTGCAAAGTGACCAAGAAAAAAGTCCTGCATCAACAGGGCCAGTGAGGGGTGGGAGAAGGGGACTGAGTAGGGTGAGGGGTGGGAGAAGGGGACTGAGTAGGGTGAGGGGTGGGAGAAGGGGACTGAGTGGGGTGAGGGGTGGGAGAAGGGGACTGAGTGGGGTGAGGGGTGGGAGAAGGGGACTGAGTAGGGTGAGGGGTGGGAGAAGGGGACTGAGTGGGGTGAGGGGTGGGAGAAGGGGACTGAGTAGGGTGAGGGGTGGGAGAAGGGGACTGAGTAGGGTGAGGGTGGGAGAAGGGGACTGAGTAGGGTGAGGGGTGGGAGAAGGGGACTGAGTAGGGTGAGGGGTGGGAGAAGGGGACTGAGTGGGGTGAGGGGTGGGAGAAGGGGACTGAGTGGGGTGAGGGGTGGGAGAAGGGGACTGAGTAGGGTGAGGAGTGGGAGAAGGGGACTGAGTGGGGTGAGGGGTGGGAGAAGGGGACTGAGTAGGGTGAGGGTGGGAGAAGGGGACTGAGTAGGGTGAGGGGTGGGAGAAGGGGACTGAGTGGGGTGAGGGGTGGGAGAAGGGACTGAGTAGGGTGAGGGTGGGAGAAGGGGACTGAGTGGGGGTGAGGGGTGGGAGAAGGGGACTGAGTAGGGTGAGGGGGTGGGAGAAGGGGACTGAGTGGGGTGAGGGGTGGGAGAAGGGGACTGAGTGGGGTGAGGGGTGGGAGAAGGGGACTGAGTGGGGTGAGGGGTGGGAGAAGGGGACTGAGTAGGGTGAGGGTGGGAGAAGGGGACTGAGTGGGGTGAGGGGTGTCAAGATCAGCATTCTCATTTGGGGCCTGAACAAAGGATAAATGATCACATTTGCTAAGAAAATACTGGAGAAAGATCGTGCTTGAAAAGAGTTCCTTCTCTTCTGTGTTGAATGTTATCTTAGTCCATTTTCTATTGCTTATAACAGAGTACCTGAAACTGGGTAATTTGGAAAGAAAAGGAATTCATTTTTTATGAAGGGCTGAGGAGTCCAAGGCTGAGGGGCTAAACATGGTGAGGGTCTTCTTGATGGCAGGGAGTATGCAGAGTCCTGAGGCAGCACAAGGCATCCCATGAGAACCTATTCATCCACTAACTCATTAATCTGTGAATCCGTTTATCCACAAATGGATTAATCCATTCATGAAGGTAGGACCCTCATGGCCCAGTCACCTCTCAAAGGCCTTATCTCTCAGTTCTGCCGTGTTGGGGATTATGGCTCAGCATGATTTCGGAGGGGACAGACATCCAAAGCATAGCAGATGTGAACCCTCTGTGACGCATCCAAGGAAGCTACTGGCCTAGGACAGAAGCCCAAGAAGGAGGAGGAAAGCGCAAGGGCAGAAGACAAACCAGCGGAGCCAGGTGTCCAGGCCATCAAAGACCAAGGGAGGAGCACTTCCAGCGTGTCAGGAGGAGTGTTGTACACTGCCAAGATGGGGAGTGCAAGGGGGACGGTGCCCCTTAGCAAGAGCTGTTGTCAGGGTGTGGACACAGAGGCCAGTGTAGAGGAGCTGAGGGTGCACCAGGCAAGAGGATTGACAGGAGGTGCATATGATTTGATTCCTGGAATATTGGTCATGATGTGGAGGTGAGAACCAGGGCAGCAGGTGTCTGCAGGGAAAGGGGGTGGGCAGAGATGATTCTGGAGTTTCAGATTGTGAGCTGATGTTTTAAGATGCAAGACACTGAAGCATGTTTAAGTGCGGATGGGAAATGTCTGCTGGAGAAGAGGAAGCAGAAGATGCCAATGGCAAAGATTACCCGGGGCGTGAGGCCGGGGTAGGTGGGAGTGGGGACGCAGAGCCCGAGGCGGGATGAGGTAGAGAACCCCTCTCCAAGGGGTGCTCTGCTCTTCCCTGCTTTCCTGCTACCTGTTCTGCCCCCTTCTCTCTGCCTTTTGGAAAATCCTCTTTGTCTTCCACTCCCCAGATGAAGTCACACCGCCTTTGTTCTTCATACCCAACCCAACCCACACTGCTCCCTCTTCCCACTGAATGCTCGTGGTCTCCCTCAGTGGACTCATTGTTCACTCCAGGTAATCACCGGTGTCTTCTCAAAGTGCCGAGGGCCTCAGCCACCTGGTGGCCCAGTGGTCCAGGTGGCGCTTCCTCCCTCTGTGGCGCCCTCAGCACCTGGCTCTGTCCTGACGGAGAGATCTACACGGGAGGCAGTGACGGAGGAGACCCCGTGGCTTCCCTGTGACATCGGGACTTCAGCCTTGAATGAACACTCAGAGAGCGACAGATGTCCCGCTGCCAAAATCCGTTTCTCATGAGGACGAGGGCAGAAGGACTGAGCCTCAGCCACTGGCCATTAAGGAAAGTACAAGCCAGGTGCAGGGTGCCGCCAGGAGCACTGTGGGCGTGGACCACACCCCACCCCGTCCTGCGTGCAGCCTCTCATCAAACGTGTCAGACTGAGAAACTGGCACCAATCTCAGAAGCCATTAGGAGGTGCTAAGAGCAGATGGGGCGTGAACACTACAGGGCACTCATGCCCATCCTGAGCAGATGTTCATCAGCTGCTCAGTAAAAAAAAAAAAAAAAAAAAAAAAATTGTAGGGAAGAGGATTGGCAGGTGAGAGAGAAATAACCGGCCTGGGGCAGCTCTGAGGCATCCTGGGGGCCAGTGCCCAGGCAACGTGGACCGCAGGTGGTTCCCACCTTCAGATGGCTTGTGAATCACACCTGCCTCTGGAATTCTTGGGGAGAGTTAGCATAGTTAGAACAGTGCCTGAAATATAGCAAACGTAAGTGTTAAATACAATAATAAAACAATGCAACAGTAGCTATTATTATCCTTCCAAAGCAAGAGTTGCAGACAGATTAACCTAGGTTTGACCAGTGTATTGGCTTCCCAGAGTTACCCTCGAACAAGTCATTTAAACTCTGATTGTTTTAATCTGAAAAATGAAGACACTCTTACTTCCAGGGCAGGCTTGCTGGAGAGATAACAGAAGATACTACGGTAGAGTTGACAGAGCCCCTAGGACATCACGGGGGAGCAGGCGCGGCCTCTCCTGGGGAAGACGGGTCTTCAGCGAACACACACCTTCACTCCAGGAATCCTCCCATAGACACGGTGACGGCTGATTTTATGTTGACTTGCCTTGATCACGGTGTCCAGATATTCAGTCTAACATTGGTCTGGATGTTTCTGTGATTGTGTTTTTTGGATGAGATAAACGTTAGATCAGCAGTTTTGGTGCAGTAGGTTGGTCTCTGTAATGCAGGGAGGCCTCATCCAAGCGGCTGAACACGATGAAGGCCTGAAGAGCATGAAGGACTCAGCTCCCCCAGCAGGAAGAAAGTCCCCAGCAGACAGCCTCAGAGTGAAGAGCAGCACTGGCTTCCTCCCGGGTCTGTGGCCTCCCAGCCCGCCCTGCAGACTTTGGATTAGCCAGCCTCCACAATTCCTCAGGCTCATTCTCTCTCTATACACACACCATGTTGGTTCTGTTTCTCCGGAGGGCCTTGACTGCCATGGATATAAAGCTCCCTCTGATTGTCAGAAGGATGCAAAATGAGGCAGCCTAGCCAACCAGTGGGCCCAGTGGTCAAGGGGGGAAATGAGGTGGCCACTAGTCAGTGCCGGGGCCATTTCTAGATGGTGCCTTTTTGTTTGTTTGTTCGTGTTTGTTTTGAGGTGGAGTCTCTCTCTGTCGCCCAGGCTGGAGTGCTGTGGTGTGATCTCGGCTCACTGCAACCTCAATGGTGCTTTTTTCTGATCACAGCTCAGGCTTACGTGCTGACCCCAGTGGCCTATCTTTAAGCACTGTGGCTCCAGGAAAGAAAGGCCTGGAGAGACCTAGACCAAGGTCTCAGCGGGGAGGGAGAGAATTTGCTCTTTGCAAAATGTATGGAGTCCTTGTTATTTACCAGATATCATGTTAGAGACCAGGGATAAAAACAACAGTGAATTTCAGTGAATCTAAAACAATCCATTGTAAGACAGAGCATTATTCTATCTCCCAAGACAGGAAAAAAACATCTTTAGATTTCATAGATATCAAATGGGAAAACAATATATTGTGGAATAAACAAAATATGCTAATGGTAACAATGAGATATCTAGGACATACTATGTACAGGTGCTGTTCTTAGCATTTCACATATACCATTTTACTCAGTGAATCTGTGAGATGGAAGCCATTGTCGTTCTATTTTATAGACAGGTACACTGAGACTCAGGCAGGCCAGTTGTCCTGCCCATGTACACACAGCTCCTAAGTGGTAGAGCCAGGATTTGAACCCAGACCCCGCAGCCTGGCTCCATGCTCTCAACAGCTTTGCAGAAACTAAAGTTGGAATGGAAGACCGCTCATTCCAATTTTTCCCATTGTCCAGCATCCCACGGCCCATTCCAGAAAGTTCAGTGGGTGTCAATGAGCTTGGCTGTGGTGACCACTCTTACGTGTACCATTACCTTTTATTTTAATTTGAGAAATTAAATAAAATATATCCACAGTAGTTTACAACTCTGCCATGATGTCATTTTGTCAGATGGCAAATTTCAGGAGAGGCTCAAACTCCAAAAACCCTATGTTGTTACCTGAATTTAACGAGAGGGTGTCAAATCACTTAATTCTATCACAGCCCACACCCATGAATTCACTAAGTAATTATCACACACCTGTCAGGCACCAGACAGTTGCTGAGGACCAAGATCCAGACGAAACTGATGGAGCTTCTCTTCCCCTGCACCTTCCGTGAACTTGGAGACACAAAGCTAAAAGACCGAAACCTGAGAGAGAATGGGAGCAGGCTGTGAGGCCCTGCCCTGCAGGCCGTCTCTTGGATGGTTTATGCTTCTCTGGCAGGTTTTCCCCTAGGTATTCATGGCATCGGGGGGCATTTCACCTCAGCAAAGTGATGACGCTGCCACTCAGGTTCCCATGGAAACCAAACTGGGACAGGAGGAACAAAAGGCTCCTCAAGGTCAGTGGTGCAAAGGACATTAGAGACAAAGACAGAGACAGCAAATCCGCCCAAAGAACAGACAAAAACCGGCGCTTCCTCCCTCCCATCACCACAGCTCGGGGCTTTGTCACTCCAGCACACCTGGGCCCTGCACTTCAGACGCTGCGTGATTTTTGAGCTTCTGGGGAGAGAAGCCTGGGCCTCCAGGGAGGTGCAGACGCTCCTGGCTCCTGGCAGACTCCTGGGCCAGGCCCAGCCTGTGTCTGTTTCCGGAGCCACGTGCTGCCTGTGTTGGGATGAATGCATGGCCGCTGCATCCTTCCCCCTCCTCAGAGCCCACAAGCTTCCGAGTGCGTCATCTTCATGATTGGCCACAGGAAATGACTTCTTGGAGTAAGTGACTGCTGCTCCGAGGCCCATCTGGACAAAAGCAGGATCCGGGATGGACACAGAAGAGCAGACCCCGAGCCCTGCGCCCCAGCCTCCCCTCCCCATGCGTTCCACATGTGTCCTCTGTTCAGCCTCTCCATTTAACTCTCCTTTCTGAACGCCCAGCCAGGCACCGCCTTCCTTCCAAAAGCCTTGTTTCTCAGAAAACCTTTTGCCTTCTAGAAACCCAGGATTCCGAGGAGGAAGAGGACTGGCCTTTCTCTTGGGACTATTGATCAGGGCTGTCAGTTCCCAGCTCCATCCAGTGCCCTGAGCTGGGGACACAGATGCTGTCACTGGGTCCTGGCGAGTCTCAAAACTTGGGATGTCAGCACCACGGTGAGAGCAGAGTCTGCGCAGGGCCACTGCAGGCAAAAGACTGTCTCGCTTTTCACTGCAGGGGCTTCCCCAGTCCAGTGTGTGTGTCTGAGCCCTGCCGTTGGGAGGCATCATCGAGAGGCTCTGGTCTCCCCTGCCCAGGCCCTGCCTCCTGGCCCCACTGCCGGAAGCTTGAGCAGATCTGAAGCTCGCCTTAGAGGAAGACCCCATCCAGGGCAGACCCTGAATGCAGAAAGCAGAGAACTTGGCTTCTCCTCATTTGTTGTTAGGGCCAGTGCCTAAGGGACTAAAAACAAACAAAACAGGCTAAAAGCAGGAGCAGTGGTGGCAGCGCTGGGCCAGCAATGATGATTTCTATTGTGAGGGTTTCGGTCGTGCTTGGATCTGGGAGCGGGAGGCCGATGCACCCAGAGACCCTAGGGTAGGGCTGTAACCACTGTAACCACACATCTTAGGAGACACTTTGGGAAGCTCAAACTGATGCCATTTGTGCTGAATTTTGGGGAAAGGGGGTGGGATGATGGACTTGGGAGCACTGTCGTTAACTGGTCATTGATTAGATATTAACTAGTCATTAACTAGACTTTCGGGAAAGCAGCGAGGCCTCTGTGTCCACAGTTGGAAGGCATGGGCCACCCTGATTGGGGGTGCTCCAGCTGTATTCACGATTCACATTCATTCATTACATGCCTGATCTCTGTCTCAGGGGCCCAGCCTCCTGTGAGTAAGCTCTCAGATTCAGGGAAAGGCGTCTCAGAGAACTCCACGTCTGTGTGGAGTCAGATGGATCTGAGCGGACCACAGAGCCGCCTTCTCTGTCCCACTCTCTCTCCCACTCGCCTGCTCAGAGGTTCCCGGCCGGCTCCCTGTCTCCCTCTCTGCCCTCCTGGGTATCACGGGCCCTCAACGCAGGGAAGCTGGTGCCCTCACTTGTCTCCCATAGTCCTCTGTCGTCTGGGCTCCTGTGGCCCCTCTCAGCTTTCAGGACTGTCCAGTCTTCCGCATCCCTGTTCTTTCTCCCGCAAGTCCCCAGTGGCCCAGGCTCTAGGGGGGAGTTGCATTCTGAGCTACTGCCCACATGGCTTCCCCAGGGCGGCGGGAGCTCAGGTACGGCAGGCCCCATCCTTGACAGCCTGAGGCTCAGAGTCCATGACCTCCAGGGGCAGCCCACAGCAGCACCCCCTGCATCACCCACAGAATAGAGGGAGACAGAGGCTCTCCACACAAAGGCACTGAGAACAAAGAATACCCCAAAAGCCACCGAGGTCTCCGGGCAGCAGAGAGTGGGAGCGCTCGTCACAGGCCAGAAGCCCGCCCGGCAAGTAGCAACAGACACCTCAGGTTAAAAAGAAAGTAGAGATTGCCACCTCCCACCCTCCCCATTCTAGTCAATTTGGGCCAGTTTGGTGCACGCTAGCCACGTGCAGTGACCATGCTAAGTACTGTGCGTGTACTATTTCTTGGAATACTTCCTGCAACCTTATGAAGTTCTTGCCCAATTTAACCAGCAGTAATGAAACTCAGAAGGCATTTACCCAATGCTGCACATCAGGAAAATGTAAAAGAACGAACAGGGCTTCAATACCAGGATTGAGCCCAAAGGTCACGTTCTTTCCCCGCGGTTCCCTTCCCCATCTGGTTCTGGGGAACTACACTCTGCACGCAGCCCCCAGGAGACTACAGGCCCTGGGCTCCCAAAACTCAGTGGCAGTGCAAAGCCACCCTCAGAAGAGCTGCCCAGGACAAGTGCTCCCGCGGCCCATTGCTCACTCCCCGCAGAGGCAGGGGCAGCTGCCTGCTGCCCCAGATGGACATAGAAGGTCACCATGTGGCCTGCCGGGGTCTGCAGGATAGACGGCAGGAGGTGAACAGTTTGAGCTGGTGCCTCCACCTGCCTCTTCCAGCCACAGAAAACAGGATTCTCCAGGGTTCACGCCTATGCGTCTGGATCAATGCTGGGCATTTTGTTGGGTGACAAGCCAGCAGCCATGCAGGGCATGTACCTGTAGATGATGCACTGCCTTAGTGTCCAGACAGAACAAAAGGGATCCCCTTTCCAGCCCGAAACTGTCGGATTCTCTAAGAGGTCATGCTACAACCCATCTCAATGCAAGAGGGACTGTGGCTCTTCTGGAAACACGATGCCTCGGGGCCATGAAATGACAGCTGCTTATTTTGAAGAACTGGGCTGTTCCCATGTAAAGCTGGCTGCAATGGATGATGTTTCTGACTCATACTCTGGCTTTAAAATCAAAGTTTTTGTTAGAAACCAGCTTTGTTTTCCTTCTATTTCCTGTTTGAAAAGTGAAGCATTAACACGAAGGAGGGCCCCAGCTGAGTTCATGCTGGGACTCAGGCTGCAAATGGCCAGTGGTCCCGGGATATCCAGGGAGCCATTCAGAGGGGACACTTCCAGCTACCATGCAAATTCATCATGCACCCATCCCCCCTTGCTGCAGCCCTGGCCTTAGAACCCTCAACACACGGCCCTGGGCAGCTACCCTCAAACACCTGGACGCCAAGCATGAGAGGGAACCCACTTACCTTCCCTGGTCTCTTATCACAAAGTACCTTAGAGCCTCCTGCACAGGAACCCACTCCTTAGAGGGCACGAGGGGCTAAGTTTTGTTTGAGACCAGCTGGCATTGGAAGAGAGAAATGAAAGTTATCCCCTGTCCCTGCTTCCAGGCCAGGGCAGAGCAAGCTGCTTTCGGCCCTGTCTCTGAGGCAGACATTAGCACACTTGTCTCAGGCAGAAGCAGCCTTAGATGGCATTACAGTTTGAATGTGGTCCCCCGCAAAATCCAGGTGTTGCCAATGTGATAGCATTAACAGGTGGGGCCTTTAAGAGGGGATTAGGCCATGATTGGAATCAGGGGTCCTGATGCAGGGGCTGTGTGGAGGGAGTACATTCACTTGTTGCCCTTCCACCTTCAGCCATGTGAGGACGCAGTAGCAAGGCACCATCGTGAAAGCACAGACTGGAGCCATCACCAGGCACGGAACCTGCTGGCACCTGGCTCCAGAACTGCGGGTAGATACGTTTCTGTCCTTTATGAATCGCCCAGTCTCCGGGGTTGTGTGAGAGCAGCACAAAATGGACTGGGACAGCTGGAATGTCAGTTTGCATCAGCCCCCACCCACACACTCAGGGCGTGCCGCGGCGGCCATGCTGGGTGCCTTTCTGCAGGTGCCCAGGAACCAGGAGCACTGGCCCAGTCTCAAGGGGCGTTCATGTCAGGGAGGTGCCCTGGCTAGTGTCAGCTTCAGCGCCACCAGCATCAGGAAGTTCATCCCAACAAGTCTGGGCAAGAGAACAGGCGGTGAGATCACATCCTACCCGTCCAGAGACCCCCAGACTTTGGAGCAGAAATCTGAAGGACCTGAGGCTCCTGAAGTGAGAGGGGACAGAGCTAGGAGAAGGGAGGGCAGCCAGGAGGGCAGGGACGCAGGGGGCGGGATGGGGAGAGCCAGGCTGGCATTAGCAAGAGCTTCTTCATGTCCTTTTGGCCCAAGGGGGCCATGTTCTCTGAGGAAATGGGACTTGCTCCAGGGCAGAGGAAGAGCTCGGCATCCGCTGTTCCCTCTCCCGAACAGCTCCTGGGGAAAGTCCACCACCATCTTCTTGCCCCGTTCTGTGCCTTCATACAAGCGATTCTCTCCACCTGCGATGCCGTTCCTCTCCCTCCTGTGGCCAGTGTCCATGGGTTCTCTGAGAAGGAATAGGAAGTATTTTAAGGTAGACCTCCTTAACCTCCTCCCAGCTGGCTGGATCCCTCCCTCTGGGCCCTCACACATCTCAGTTCCCAAACGACCATTCACATGATAGCCTAAATTAGTGGATCCTTGGTGTGTGGTGTGTGCAGTTATAATGGGTTGCCTCAGCCTCCAACGCACCCTTCATTGCCTTCCTCTGTGATAATGCCCCTGGGCCCTGTACCCATTTCTCTCTTGCCAGCTGGCATGACGTTTAGCCTTGTGCAGAGGCAGGGGCCTCTCCCCGGTTCTGAGACTTCTCTCTTTGCTTGTTTCTGGCTGCTGGGGGGACACGAGGGATACTCGGCACTGTTCTCCCTTCAGCAAATGTTGTTGCCAGTCCCATCCCAGGTTCCTGGCCTGCTGCTCCCTGAGGAGGGTTTGCCAGTGCCAGCCCATGCTCCCCTGTACCCAGCCTTGGTCTGCTGGGACCCAGTGGAAAGCCCACAGCTGCCGCCCCCACCCACCTTCCCCTGCTTGCCAGCCACAGTCACCAGCTGTGGACTTGCACGGCTGTGCTCCAGAAGCAGAGCTGGGTGGAGGAGGGGCCCCGCGCACAGATGAGAATATGAAGACACCCTCTAGAGGCTGTGGCAAACACAGGTGCCCTGCCCCATATCCCGCCCGCAGTCACAGCCCTTCCCACATGGAGGGTCCTGTCATCAATCTTTTTGGGGGCTGTGGACACTCTGCATCGCCATACCTGTGGCAGTCCTGGCGCATGGTAAGCTCTCAGTAAGTGTGGCGAGTCACTGCTGAGAGAACTAACAAACGAACCTCCCACCACCAACCACAGGTAGCTGGGGCAGAACCAGGGCACTGCTCAAAGGAGGCTGGTGACCCCTGCCGTGACATGCCCGCTGTGCCCAGGACCCAGGCTCCCACAACTTGAGTCCTTCCTCTGTCCCAGATCCATTCAAAGTGAAGTGGCCTCCAGACAGGCTTCCCTAGGGGCCCTGGTCACTGTCCGTGAGGCCACCATGCCCCTGCTCACCATGGGACATGAGAAAGGGCCTGGCCCGTGGACCAGGGCTGACGTAGGTCTGAGCCCCAGCTCAGTGGTCTGCTAGCTGTGTGAGCTTGCGCAGTAGCTCTTCAGGTGTGGCTCTGGACGCGTGGCATCAGCATCAGCGTCACCCGGGAACCTGGTAGAGATGCACATTTTGGGCCCCAACCTCCTTCGACCAAGTCAGAAATTCTGCAGTCTATGTTTTCATAAGTCCTCCAAGTGACTCTGATGCACTCTCAGGGTTGAGGACCATCGAGAGAGAGCCGTTTAACTGAACTCCTCCAGGCCTCGCCTGCGCACGGTCACAGCCGCACCCTCTGCACGCAGTCGCTGAGATGTGTGTGAAACAGCAGGCACACAGCAGAGTGAATTGCGGTGGTCGGAGCATACCTGAAGCACCAGGGCTGGCCCCCTCCCTCCCCTCTCCTCCCCTGCCTCCTAGGAG